CTTCTTTTTTATAGCACAGACCTACGTTTTTTTTTTTTTTTTTTAATTGAAGTGTTGTTTTTTTTTCTGTTGTATCTTACCTAATTAATCCAAACTGTTTTTTGAAGTATTATATCAGAGATAATCTGAAGTGTGAATTGGTCTAATCATTCAGGAAATAAAAATACAGGTGTTTAAGGAATTAAGGGATTTAAAAATTAAATTAGACCCAATAAAACTGTTTAGTCTTTATTTAATTAGTATTATGTAATATTATATCATTACACCTGCTACGTTTCTAAACATTATTTATCAGGATGCCACTGCATAATTATTTAGAAATATTAAATAAAAAATAAATAACAGATTTTGAAATATACAATATATTACTTGATCCAGGTTTAATTGGGTTAACTTTGAAGATCAAGCTGTAGCAGCTTAAGTCTAAGTCTCAAAAAACCTCATTTCTTCATACCCAAGAGGATTTATTCATATCCTTCATCCCTGCCTCTTCAAGAGGGCGGCTAGAGATTGTTTTGTGATTAATCCTTTTCTTCCAGTAGACATGTATTTCTTAAAGCTCTAAGTTTGGCCACACCTATCAGTTGCCAGGAGTCAATTTTCAAGAGTCAACAGGCCACTCAATTTTCCAAGATAGTTATTCGTTGAATGGCTGATAACAAGTTAGTGGACCCTCTTAGAGGATTCCCCAGCTGTTCTATTAGTGAAATTTTATTCTGACTGACTCATATCAGTAAATTATAGGGCTTTTCTTTTAAAAAAAATTTGTGTCTTCAAATTCGAATATTTCTTAAAAAATTTAACTTTGTGTTTGTTCATCTGCTAGTACGGAAAAACGTTATGTAAGGGGTATGACAAAATATTTGATGAAATATTTTGAGATTGTGCGAGTTGGTACCAAAATCCTGATTTGCAAAGTGCTCTGGACAATCATTAGCTGCCATTACCTCCTTTTTTATTTTTCCCGCCCCTTCTCCTCCCTACCAAATTATAAAATTTTTCTAATTCAAGTTTTTTGATCAGTTTTAAACTTGCAGTTTTATCTTATTCTATTGACTACCTTCACTTATTCATATGCACACGTATATTTGTTGACACACAAAAAGTTCTGTTAGGATTCAAGTCAGAGAAACGAAGCGAATTATTGTATGAATAACAAATTTCATGTTTCTAACTAATAGAAATGATGATTAAGCTATGTAAGTATAGATTAACTTGATTGACTGTTTTTGTCAACAAAATTATTTAAGATGAACAAAACTAATGCAGGATATTCAGTGTCATAACAGAATATTCAAAGTTAATTTGGTACATTTTCAATATTGGTAGAAAAATTAAGAGTAAAATTTATCTGTTCATAGGAGCAGTATTTTTTTTTTTTTTTTTTTTTTTTTACAGCACAAAGATTTTTTTTTTCAATGAAATGTTGTTTTTTTGTAGCTTCCTCTTGCATAATTAAGTTAAACTGTCTACTGAAGTATACATTACCTTTGGATTATCTCTTGTGTTAATTGGACTCATCATTTAGGAAATAAAAATATTTGAAAGCTAAATTAGATTCAATAAAACTGCTTAGTCATCAGATGAATATTGTATAACATCATACAGTACAGCCATGCTAATATACAAATAATTTTATCCTACCATTGGGAACTAAAGCCTTCCTATCTTGCATTGAATAATGTTTTATATTAAATCATAAGCGAAACAACATAAGGCCTTCAGAAGAAAGTGATAAAACTGAACAGCAAACTTAAATAAGAATATCAACTAGTCTGATATTTTGTAATTAATATTAATATTTTTTGTACTTTAATTTGATATTGCTCCTCTTTCCCTCCAAAATTGATCATAGAGGAAAGATTAGAAGACACTAGGAATTCAGACCTCAAGATTACTTACTGAAAGGATGATAAAATGATGCTGTTAGGCATCATTGGAAAATTTGTAAACATTTCATAAATTGAGCTTTTCTACTCCACACAGTAAGTGAATGGTATATTAATATATCCCATATTGACTGAAGAAATTCAAAATACTGAAATTATAATTGAATGAGAGAAACATATAAGATTAAAACGTATTTTTTTTTTTTCATTTTTAATATAAAAATTGAATGGATAGATATTATTAGTTACATTTTATGAATTTATATTTGTTATTGATCTTAGATCATACGAAATCTCTCAATTATTAGTATAAAATTTTTCACATTTAAGAGGTAAAGTTGATAATAGAGATTTAAGATGGATTTATTATTTAAATTTAATGTGTAATTGATCAGGAAATGTGCAGAGTTTTAGCTTGTCTTTATAACAATGATAAATCATTGATTAGTGATTTTTCTACTGTATTTACAGTCTATTAGTATGTGGTATGGTCATTAACCATCTTGATTTCGAATAATTAACTATTTGTTACTAACAGAAAGCTTCATTAGTACTGCCTTTATAATGAATCTAGGTCGTTTTCTTCAAATAAATAAATTATTTATGTGAATTATGCTAATTTGTCACGTTCAAGGACAACAAGAATGTTTTTGTAACAATTTACCAGCAGAATTCATCTCTTGACAGCAGATTCTTTTCTAAGTACACTGCTATTATTAATGTTTGTTTTTAAACAGTCATATGAGTACTTTGGTATTTTGTATATTTATTATATAAAATTGTTGGTTGAAACCATATAACCCATTTCTTATTCATCTGTTATATAAATGAAACCTATGGTGAAATATTAAGAACAAAATTAATATGCCTATGATGTGCATAATGGAATTTATATTATTTCATTATAGTAAATAACAATATATGTTATAAATGAAGATTTAAGATTTCGAAAAAAAAAATTATATTTTTATTTAATGAAAAATATTGTGAAATATGATAAACTCGTAAGTAATAATTTTATAAATAATCCCGAGGATTTCATACACAATTTTCGACGCCTCAGCATACTTTCCACCAGTCGGGAAATGTCCCTTTGCTGGAGGATAGCCCATTCCTCCCGAAGAGCCCTTTCAAGGACCTGCAGTGTATCAGGAAGTGTTGCATGCGCTCTTATTCGTCTTCTGAGGTTATCCCATAAATGCTCAATGGGGTTCAAATCTAGAGAACGTGCTGGCCAGGCTAAAACCTCAATATTGTTCTGTTGAAGGAGCGTCTGCACTATGCGGGCGACATGTGGGCGTACATTATCGTGCATTAGAATAGAACGATCACCGATTTTGTTGAGGATAGGCAACACATGAGGTTCCAAAATCTCATCTACATAGCGAATGGCCATCAAAGACCCTCCATGAACAACAACCAATTCTGTGCGGCACTCCGTTGAAATCCCAGCCCACACCATTAAGGAACCACGTTGGAAAGGTTGGCTCTGGGAAAAATTACAAGCCGCATATCTTTTGTTTCTTCTTCTCCACACCCTTTCACGCCCCTCTGGAGATCGAAGAGCAAATCTTGACTCATCTGTAAAAAGTACAGCACTCCATTTGTCCATAGTCCAATAGCTGTGTTCTCAAGCAAAAGCCTGCCGTGTTACTCTGTGAGTTCTGGTCAACTCTGGTCCTCTTACTGGACGAAAAGCCATTAATCCATACTCATTTAACCTTCTCTGAGCGGTAAGTTCAGAAATTTGCACACCTCAAACTTCTTCGAGCTGATGAATCGCTTGAACAACGGTAAGGTGCCGGTTTCGTAAAATTCTCAAAGTCAAAAACCGGTCATCCCGTGGTTCTGTTACCCTAGGCCATCCAGAACCTGGCCTTCTATTGTAAGAACCAGTTTCCCGAAAATGCCTGATGGCGTCTCGTAAAGTTTCATATGGAACTCCGATGGCATTAGCTGCATATCTAATGGAACGTCCATCATCAATAAGTGCCAAACCACGCGCCACATCCTCAGCTCTAAGAGGCATTTTTAAACTTAATATTGAAAAATTAAAAGCCAGAGACTAAGAAATGTGCTGCAAGAAACGGCACTGAACTAATGATACTGATTAAACATTTTGATTCCATAGAAAGTAAACATTGGAATCTAGAATCATTTCATTGAATTAAGGATTAAGGGTTATTGTCCTCTATATTAACATTCCTAATTGAAAACAAACAAAAAGATTACCTATTTATTCATTAAAAACAACAGACCAATCCAAACCAGAAATATTTTTAGATGAAAACATGAAAAAATCAAGTAGGTGGAATTTTTTGCCTGTCAGTGTGTATATATATATATATATATATATATATATATATATATATATATATATATATATATATATGTGTGTGTGTGTGTGTGTGTGTGTACTCGTTAAATACAAACATAAAAACATTCAATTTCATTTATAAATTCAAAAGATTTAACATAAGTACATTTTTTTTCCTAATGTTCTTCTGACTGGAATTTGGAAGATTCAATTAAATCATATAGATTTAAAGCTTGTATTTCAAATGTGATTCATTCTGAATCAAAATTTTTAATATTATATCAATATAATATTATTATTTATTCCTCAAATGCCTCAAATGGGACATAGCTATCAAGGAATTTTCAACAAAAGTAATTGGTTTGATTCTACCCTTTTATGACTGTAGCAGTTTTAAGAATAAATGTAGTAAAAACTTTTCTGTGGTTTCTAAACACAATTAGTGCCAAAGTTGCAATAAGGGCTTTCGAGTAAACATAAAATCAACCCAATTGTCACATTAATTGCAGAAAGTGTTTAACTTTTTTATTATATATATATTTTTAATGCAAATTATTTGCATCAATGTCAGCTCAAAAAAACGTAAGTGAAAAAATTGAACACCAATTAAAATTTACTACCATTTCAATTGAGGTGTTCACATAACTACCATTTTTGAGTTATCCCAGAATTTGTGTCAGAAAGACATTTAAAAAAAAATAAAAAAATTCATTTAAATGTATAAATTAATTGATGTTATAATAGTTTTCAAACAAGTAATATAATGTTTTTAAAAAAATAATATTATGTTACAGAAGCAGGAGCAGCAACAGAGGTGCAACAAGAAAGCTCAGGAGAAGAGCAGTCTTAAAGAATGGAGACTGCAATGTTACTCAGGTTCACATTTCTAAAAGAAGAAGGAGATATCTTCAGGTTATTATTTAAAAGATTTTTTTTTTAATTTTATTATAATATTTACAACAGTATTAGTATGAATACATCAAGTAAATGTATACAAAGGAATATAATCACATGAAACACGTTTGTTGAGAAACTACCCATTGATAGCACTCTAATAATTTGTCTACATGAGGAGATCACGAGGCCATCTTCTTTTCAGACGCCTCGAAGGGTTATCAGGAATCAAAGAGGAAGCAAGGTTAGAAACTAGAGGGTTCGGATGGTTATGAAGTTTATTATGGAAGGATAGGTTTCTGGATTTGGCCAAATCAGAAACATATGGAACATTGAGGTGGATTATTTTATTTGTGACAAAGTAAGGAGCATTGAGGATTTTACGAAGGATTTTGGATTATAAAGATTGAATACGAGAGGAATTTGATGGTTTAGTGGAGCCCCATAGCTCAACTCCAGATTTAAAAGATAAATATAAATTAAAAAATTTAAAATTGGTAATTGGTTGACTGTCGTGGATAATGAAGAGAAGAATAGTTGGGGTGTTCAGTCAAAAAGGAAGGCAAAAATAAATTATAATATTTATTTTTTACATATGCCGACGTTTCAAATTGAAGTTCAGGCCTTCATCAGGGCTGTCTCCTTAAGTGTCGTAGGGAGAATCATTCTCCCTACGACACTTAAGGAGACAGCCCTGATGAAGGCCTGAACTTCAATTTGAAATGTCGGCATATGTAAAAAATAAATATTATAATTTATTTTTGCCTTCCTTTTTGACTGAACACCCCAACTATTCTTCTCTTCATTCAAAAATTTAAGTTTTATGTATAAATTTACAAATAATCATAGTTTTTAAGTAAGATAAGGAATATTTAATGCCACACGAGGCCAGATGGGGGTTTCATAGCGCAAATTGCATCACCAAAATGTTTGAGTGAGTCACATTTTGATGGGATTTACAATTTTTGAGGAGGGCACATTTCGACGAGGTTATGAATTTTTGGATTGAAAAGGTTCAAATCAGAAGACAAAGGGAATACATGGAACGAACCGCAGCAAGTGTAATTGTATATGATCTACGATAGTTTTATTTCTGATATTTTCAAGAAGATAAAAGCAAAATATAGCTAAGGGAGGGGAGGGAGAAGTTCATGTGCCATCGACCTTGGGAGGGGTGGGTACCCCTGCATGAGGCTCTTAATTACTTTTATATTCTATTATAATTGTTTGCCTTAATGAAATAATAACAGTTTTATTTTAACTATTTGTATTTGGACATCTGTGCAGTCCCTCTAATCGAATTATTGAAAATTTGTATATGACTTAGTCGCAACTTTTTTTCAAACTCTGCAATTTATTTATAATATTTGTACTTCAAGAGTTAATCAAAATTGAGCTTGAGAGTTGAAAACTTATATTTGAATTTAGTTGATTTTAGAGAAGTGCTTTTTGGAGTCTCAACTTTTTTCTCACAGCCATGCTAATTTTGGTTTGCAGTTACTAAAGAATTAGCACACCTTTAATAATTTCAACACCTCTACAGTCCCTCCTAATTTAGTTTGAGGATTGTAAATTTGTATTTGAATTGAATTAGTGTTAATACAGAAATGTATTTTGGAAGTCCTAACTTTTTCTTCTGACCTCTGCCATTTTGATATATTAAATTTCGACACACATTACAAAAATCAAAGAAAAAAAAAATTAAAGAGAAATAAATTCAGTAGCTCAACTGATTTTATTCAATGTCTTTAGGTTATCATTAATGCAATGTTAATAATAATAATAAAAGCTTTATTTCAAATGTTAATAATTAAACTGCAATAACTTTCAAACTTTTTAAAATGATTTGATATACCATTCGATTAGGCAATCAAAGGAATTGAATTTTTAAAAAATTTATTGCTTTCCAATGATTATAGAAAATAATATACTGTTTTATTTACAGGATATTTTCACTACACTTGTTGACATTCAGTGGAGGTGGACTCTTCTTGTTTTTGCCTTAAGTTTTCTTCTCTCATGGCTAGTATTTGCTGCGATATGGTGGTTGATATCTTATACCCATGGAGACCTGGACCCTCATGATGATACCTGGACCCCTTGCGTGGACAACATCAATTCTTTTACTTCCTGCTTTCTGTTCAGTGTTGAGAACCAGCATACTATTGGATTTGGAGGACGTGCAACTACAGAAGAATGTCCTGAAGCAATATTTGTTATGTGTCTTCAGAGTATAACTGGTGTCTTTATACAGGCAAGAAATTTTATTTATTATAATAGCTTATTTTTCATGTTTATGTTCAGTTCACCATAATTATTTTTTAACAAAATTTTGTATTATAAATTATACATTTCCAAAACTTATTTCTGCATTTAAAAATAATGGAGTTACCATTCATTATTCTTTATTAATATTTATGCTATTATTCACTATTGCTTATTGACTAAATTTAATCCTTTAATATAGCATAATTTATTTGTTAATAAGAGGATTTCTCTGTTATAATAAATACCATTTTTAAAAATAAATAATGTATTTTTGATTAACTAATCTATGTGCATCTATAGTTTATTCTTCAAAATAATTACCATAGAGTTTTATTATAGGCTTTCATGGTGGGTATTGTGTTTGCTAAAATGGCACGGCCTAAGCAAAGAACTCAAACACTGTTGTTTTCAAGAAATGCTGTTATTGCAATGAGAGATGGTCTATTATGTTTGATGTTTCGAGTTGGTGATATGAGAGAAAAATCCCATTTGATTGGATCATCTGTTAGAGCTCAGCTTGTTCGACCCCATACCACTAAAGAGGGAGAAGTTTTGTCTCCTTTTCTCTATGACCTAAAGGTAAGTTCAAAACTGCAAATATAATTCTAAAGACCATCTAATATCTAAGCCTAGTTTCATACATATTTTTGAGAAGGATTGAGTATTGGATACAATTCATACCTCTTTAATTATCTTTAATTTTTCTCTGAGTATAAATATTTTTTATCTAATTTATTGTTCAGTTTTAAAAATATTATTTTATTTTTGTAAGAAAATGTCGGCTCAGTATGATTTCAAAACATTTTTGGTATTATGTAGATATGAATGGATCTTAGAATAATTATATCCCATGTTTTTTATTAGTTCTTCAACTGCTAGCAGGATTTTATTCAATAGCAATCTCCAAAAAATCCTTATCTCAAAATTATTGGCTTGTACGGCCAATGTATTAAGCCTTCTCATTTTTTCTATGCCTGGATGTCACATGTTAACAATTACAAAAATCTTTTAATAAAGTAGATATAAAGCTTCCATGGTGAACATTTACACCTTCTTGATAAGGTTAATGAAGGTTGATAACCTTAATGAAGATCGATCAAGAATGTATCATCACTGAAGTGAATGGTTATAGAACAATATAATTTACTTACAGATATAGAGATCATGAATTTGGCAAAGTAAACTTCTTTTGTGACATATAATTAGTACATTTGCCACATATTCTTACACATTAATGTTTCAATTCATGTTAACCTTAATGTTTTTTTTTTTTAATAAAGAAGGGACAGTACAAAAGTTCAGTCTTCCTTACTTGCTCTTACTTCAGGTTGCACTGATTTTGATTAGACATTGAATCATCCAAATCCATTGTGAATGTCGAATCTTAAATAGATATTTGCTCTATGAGCCTTTGCTCTCTGCAAAGGAGCCATGCTTTATGGGAACATATTTTGACCACCTTATCTACCATATACCATTTATTAAATTATTGCGAGTAATTTATTTATATTTAATTATAATTTTTTTTAAAAGGTTTAAACATCAGTTTATGATATAAAATAAAGTTTAATGTTATTTTTGTTTCTTTTTAAGGTTAAGGCAGATAACTATGATTCTGATGTTTTCCTTATCTGGCCTACTGTTATCGTGCATGAGATTGATTCCTCAAGCCCTCTTTATGAACTGGGTGCTGCAGACATGATTAATGAGAGATTTGAGATTTTAGTTATATTGGAGGGTACAACAGAAAGTACTGGACAGACAACGCAGGCAAGGACATCATATGTTGCTTCTGAAATACTCTGGGGACATAGATTTCAGCCACTGGTTGCCTTCAATAGGGCAAAGGGGACATACCAGGTGAACTTTGGCCTCTTTCACAATACATATCAAGTGGACACTCCATTGTGCAGTGCCAGGAATCTCGAAACATTCTTGGAAGGGACCGACATTGAATTGTGACAGGACCGCCCGCTCCCAGCCATCGGAGCGCAGACTTGGATCCAGTTAACCGACTTTTCGATTTCTGTTTGAATTAGGAAATAGTAAAGTTGGTAGAGGTTTAGGGTTTTACCATTCCTTAGTAGATCATAGAAGCATGAAGACCTGTAGAAAATATATACCAATATAAAACTACTTTTTTTTAATACACTTTTCAAGGAGTACAAATTTATTTATTGATCAATTATATTGTTGATTTAATTACAAATGATTTTTTCAAGAATTTAATCTGTGCCTTGGAACAAAAAGGACGTAAGTCTAAAATTTTGAAATTTAAGTGAACTGCATAAAAGAAATTAGGGCAGGGTACAAATAAATGTAATATATTTAAAATTCAAAATTTTGGAGATTGGATCATTTTGTTCCAAGTTATAGAAATCAGTTTTCAATTAAAATTATCAAAATTTTACTCATTATTTGTTTCAATTTTAAAAAAAATATTTTATTCCATTTTTTTCTTTTTTGAAGTACTTCTCAGGTTGGAAAATCAAAAAGATATTATTTAGAATGTAAATAATATTTAGTTTTTCATAAGCTAATTGTACTTTTTAATGCCATATTCATCATGCAATGCTGGAATCAGTGAGATTACTTTACAAGTATTTTATTTTAATTTGACACACCTATAAAAATTAATAATTATATTTTTATACTTTAATTGGTATTATAGCTTCATTTTCACAGCTATTGTCTTTAAATTAATTGGTATAAAAGTATTGAAGTTGTATGAAATAATTTATTTTCCTAATTTCTTTCATTTCAAAGCAGACTACAGAATTAATAATTAACAGTAATTAGAAATCAAGTTAATGAAATATTTAACTTACAACATGTTTGTAATTTTATTTTTGCTTAAACTATATGCATTAATATAGGCTGTCTCATCATGCTTCTATAATCTATGATTTAATTACCACATTCGCATAAGAGGCAAATTAAAATAAAATAATTATCATTAATTATTCTTCCATTGTAAAATGAAATTAGTAACTTTAGAGCATAGGTAAGATGTAATAATTAATGTTTGTAAATATTTGTAATTTGTATTATGAAACGTTGATATTTTAAAAATTGCTGAATTTCCATAGGCTAAAATAAAATTGTTTGAAACTGTATAGTTAATTAAAACATCAATAATTTATTATAGTTTTTAAAAAAATAGTGTTTAGATGAAATGTTGAGCTTAATTTTATTATTATATAACTAGATAAAATTATTTTATCTGATTGATTGTTGTACTAGTTTGTACATATATGTATGTACATGTAAGTATATGTATACATGAGTGTGTATAAAAAAAAATTATTTGTCATTTTTTTTAAATGATAAAAAAAATGGAAGGCTGTATTTGACTATGTTTATAACAATTTTTGAAGACATGTTTTTTGTGATGTAAACTTTATTTTCAAATTTTTAAAAATTTGGATGTTTCAATTACCTATTGGCTTTTGAATATACATATATTTTAATATGTGATTAATTAATCTGTGTAATTTTTATATCAAATTGTATATAAGAGGATGAATGTTAATATTAATATAGTGTATGGCACCTGCTCTTTAGAGGTGAAGCTCAAGTGCAAGACAAAAGCATAGTAATTACATATATATTTATATATTTTACATAACCCCATAATTTACCCAGAGAGGCCATAATTCTAAATATTTATTTTTTTTTAATCCATGCACAAAATTTGAAATTAAATTAAAGAATCAATATAAATATGTATTAAACATTTAAAATAAATTAAATATTTAATAACAATAAAAGTGAAGATAATTTGGAGCATTATTCGAGAGATTGTGATAAAAATTATTCTTCTTAAACTAAAAGTGTTTAATGGAGAAATATATATTATAAGAATGAAATAATTATGTAGGAATTAAAAAAAAAAATCGTGATAATATTTGTCATTTCATTAAGGTAGTTGAAATTTTAAAAATTGTAGCATATTTAAAAAATGCATTGCAAGCTATTGAATTGTAAATTTATTGATGGGTCGTTCAATTTGAAATCACCTAAAACCTTGGCATCGATATTCTTGATTTTCATGAGTTTTGGTATGTTAGTTATAACAACTAAACACATTAACCTATTTTTTAAATATCTTTTACCTGAGTCTTTTTTTTTTTTAATATTGATGCAAGTTTTTACTATAATGGATTCTGAATTTAATTTTAGAGCTAAACTTTTTATTTAACAATGGAGATTACAGGAAAAATAATGCTTTTTGGGATAAAATGTTTATATTTTTTCTTGATACGTGTTTACATTTAGTAACTGAAATACCAGTGCTATAATTTAAAAATAAAACAATTTTTGTAAGTATTTGGCTCTGATAACTCATAGAAACAATTAAAAAATCATTGAAAAACAATTTTTTTTGAGGGGGCAGGAGGAGGATTCACCTCGAAAGCCTTCCTTTAAATTGTTGGTGAGTTTGTTACAATTTAGTATTTGTTAAAATATCAACTTGAAGAAAAATAATTGCAATAAAATCCTCATATAAATTATAAAACGTTTTAACAAGATAATTGTTTCATATTATTTTACCTATTTATCCTATAACAAGAGATGAATAAACAAAATTTAAAGTGAAAATTAGGTCACTCTTTCTCTTTCTTTTTATATAATGAATCATATAGCACTAACTTAGTGTCGGAAAACAATATGAAAATGTAATAAGCTTTAATCTGAACTATGAAACATCTCTCTAGCACTTGTTTGTAAACCTATGAGTCTTTTTATGATACAAAACTTGGTGAGATTTGACTATTTCTTACATTTTTAAAGATTTATACTAAATGAAATATTCAAGAAAAAATGTTTTAAAAAATGGATTTATAATGTATTTAGCTGTTATAATACCAACACCCAAAATAATGAAAATCGGAATTATGCAGGTTAAAATTTATTTTTCATTGGGAGATTTAACATGTAATGACCTTGAAGAATATTGTGTCTGAAATATTTATGTAATAATTGTGATGTAAATATTTTTTATAATCGGTAGATTGAAGCTTGTGTTTTAAACATAATAAAATATATGAATTTAACTATGGATCGTTGATAGAAACTCATCTGTAATATTTTGAACATTAATGTTAGACTTTATGGGAAGTTATAATTTTTTAAATCAAAGAAGTATTATCATTGTGATAATCATTTATTTGTTATTGTTTAATTACAAATGTTTATAATAGGCAAGCATTTAATGCAGCCTTAAATATTGTTTCATTTTATATTGTAATAATGTTTATATGCAGTTCATTGACCATTGTAAATTATTTAAAACTAATGTTTATATTAAATATTTAAAGCTCATTCTAACATTTATTTCCAAATTAACAAACCCTGGTATAAAATACTTTTGAGATTACTGTTTTTTTGTTTGTTTTTTTATGGTTGTTATAAAAAAGTTATATATGAAAAAAGTAATAAATCATGAATATTTTTCAAAGAATGTATTGTAATTAATTGTCTGTTACAGTGATAAAGGTAGATTAATAAAATATATAAATGTATACATGTATACACAGTGCTGGCACAACAGGACAATTGCCTCGAGGCGCTGATCTGGAAGGGCACGTGCCAGAGGCACTGATCATCACGGTTGTTCGCCATTTGTTCCAAATTAGAATAATATATACAAAACTTATTAAAATAATTAGTTTCAGCCGATTAATAAAGGAACTGCATTTGAGAAACATTGAATGAAATAAAATTTAAATACTCCATAATATAAAACAGCTTAAGATATAAATAAATATTTTAGGGAGATGAAGATGAATTCATCCTAACATGAATTACATATGCTTCAACAAGTTAGGAACAAAAGATTATAAACATTCAACAAATTGGTTAAATTTATTTATATATATATATTTTCAGTTAACACAATTATTTAAATCAGAGATAATCTAGTCTTAAGATAATATTACTTACAAAAATACTTAAAGAAAGTTTATTTTGTAGCTGGAAACACAACTCACCCAAGAAAAATAGTCAATATTCACTTGTAAATATAGAAATAAATATGGAATAGTGTAATTTTAAAATGATTTTAGTCTAGTTCAGATTGTTTATGAGGATGGAAGTTAAAAATTTTGAAATAAAAATACTAGTTAATAAAACCATTTCTTAACACAAATTATTATTTTTTTTTATAAAACGGAAATAAATCTTCATAATAGAATGATAAATCATTATTTGAAATTGCTGTAAGGACTTTCTGTGCTTGTAATTGCGAAACAATAAAGAATATGCGTTTCTAGTGTTCAGACTGTGATAAAATATGATAATTTCACAAAATAAATCTAGAAATGGTAGATTATATAAATTTCAGATTGCTATAAGTAGAATTTATTAAAACAAATTGTTTAATCCACAAAAAACGACTAAAGGTTTGACTCAACATGTGGATTCAATAAAAGGAATTGATGATCACCCGATAGTAATGAGAAGAATTTTGTACTGGCATAGATTTTTCAACTGAGTGGTGTAACGAAAAAAGTGGGGTCACCGATTTCAATGAAACTTTTTTTGGTTATACTATGTCAAAAAATATTAGACCAATGTCTGAGTGTTCTTGCCAATGTGCTCTAGATGTTGAGAAAAAAAATTTATAAAATTTTATTATTTATTTATATTACTGTTTTATGACTTTTCACAGTATGGATTTCTAAGTTATTATTTATCAATCAATTTGTTGTTGTTGTTTTTTTTCCAGTAAAATAAGAACAAATATATTGATAATTGTATTAAACAAGTTCTAATGTATAATAAATTAGAAAAACCCAAATGCACTTCCAGTAAAGTAGGCCAATTAAATATTCATCATGAAAAAACGGTTCAGATTCGTTTTTAGCCTCAACTGAAGCTCTTAAATATGAGTTCGTCTTTAAATTAAAAAATATAAATTTTTGTTTTGGATTTAAAAAAAAAAATCATAAAATATAACTCTAGCATGGCTCCAATTATTCACACCAAAAATATCAGGAATTTAGGGCCCTATAATATACTCAAAATGGCACAAACCAGATATCCACAAATAAATGTAGGCTTGGAGATAAAAAATGAAAGCTTTGGGAAGTTTTTTTTTTATTTATTCTCTATAAAGGCAGGACATATAAAAGTTATCTACATGGTTTGGAAGAACAGTAATTTAACTTCCCAACATTTACAGTAATAAACATTGACTTAGGAGAAAATCCTGAAGAGTCATATCATCCAAACATGGTACCTATCCCTTGGCGATGTGGTAAAACGACAAGCTGTCGTAAATCTGTTAGAGGAAGCCCTCTGTAAGAAACGTTATGAGGTAGACAGAACATATGTTGGTAGCAAAATGGAGTAGAAACCCAATGTCGTTTGTTCTGGATTGGGAAATAATTTTGTAATAGATCCTTAGATCATTAAAGATATTCCGAGTACTGACAGAGAAAAAAGGTTAACAAATACAAAAGCATAGTCTGCAGAATGGCAGTTGGTCTGAAAATTAAAGTGCCATTCATGCATATTAAAGTATATTCCTGTACTTTGACCTGGAGAGGAATATGGTATACGGATTTCATGCGAGATCATTCAGGATTACGACGGTCAAAGAGAACTATGTATCATATTATATCAAGAGTTCTCAGGGGATCAAACTTATATTACTATACTATACTATATTGGCATAAATTGTTACCTTACTAAAAAATACTAAGAAATAATTTATGGGTAATTGGATCTCCAGATGTGATTTCATTATTTTTATCACTTTTAATCTATATTTTAAAAAAACTTATACTTTGTGATAATTTAAATTTAAATTTGATTTTACTTAAAATTCAAATTTGAATCCCAATTTGGATGAGTTAGTATTTAATGTTTATTATTGTATGAACATTGTAGATATTTATGCATGTTTATGTATGTGTGTCTATATGTATATGTGTGCAATGAAATTTTGTTTGCACATATTTAGTGTGTATATATTTAAGATATTAGTGACACAGTAAGTTATTATTAAAAGAAATTACGATGTGTGCTTAAGACCAGACAATAGAAGTGAAAACATGAATAATGCGGAATTATTAGTAAGAAATATAAATATTCATTTGTGCTCTATATTCACAAAATAATTATTTACTGATTATTGACTGACCACCCCAACTATTCTTCTCTTCATTATCCACGACAGTCAACCAATTACCAATTATTAGTAATTATTTACAATATATATAATTAGGATTGGGTTTAAATTACTCTGGTAAACTTTGCTCCGATCGATACTATGTAATCTCATATTCTAAAAATGAAACAATAGATTTATGAAAACTGAAATATGTGATGATCGTATATTCCAATTATTTTAGTATGATTTGTGATATTTAATATAAGAATATTTAGTGTGAAATTCGTTATGATTTGGTTTTTAACACTATATTTTTCTCTTTTTATGCCTCTGGCGGGGGTCACATCAAGATACAATTTTGAATGATAGCCCATTGTGGAGAAGATCAAATGCTGAACTATTCCCTCGCTTACAGTATGCAGGTCCAATTTTTAGTTTTTCAGATATTTTAATCCATATGAAAAACCACTTCAAATAGTCTACTCCAGCCGATTTTACCCAAGCGTTACACATCGGAAATCTGACGGCTCAATCTAATTCATTCTACACAAAAAAATGCGAAACTCTCATAAAGAAGTTTTCTCTTAAAAAATCTTTACATAGCTTTTGACTGAGAATATGTATGTTTGTGTGATCTTGGGACTCTGCAACCCAGATGATACATAAATTGACATCTACAAATATTTAAACTTCAACTTAAACTTATACTTCAGGTGAAATATAGTAATGTGCCTTTCACTACATATTACGCTTTCAGGCAAATAAATTTCGTCCCATCTATCAGTGCAAGTAAATATCTGAAAGTTTTGTTCGGGGATGTTAGGCACTCAACCATTACACCAAGTTTATATATTATTAGATGTCAATTTGCCTTCAATCTACCACAATATTTTAGAGAATGGGGAAGGAAATTCCCTTAGGGTGGATAGAATTTCCCGATTTCTGTAGTCGGTTTTTTTTTTAATTCGAATATTTTTTAGTTTGACATTTTTATAATTTAAATATTAACAATTTATTTTCATAACATATCGTCGGTAACATGTTAAAATAACGATTCTTACCCTGTCCAATGTTTCACATTTGTTGCTTTAACACGGTGCCAACGATATGATCACATGATATCATTTAAAATAAAATAGATACTTAAACTATAATAAAAATATTTTTCAGTTTTTGAGATCAAATTGTTTCAAAACATTCACAGAATCTCACTGAGTAATTAAAGCGATAATAGTTAAAAAATGGTCAAGTCATCCCCTCAAAGTATACCTACTTTTTTAACGGAGTAATTTCCCAAAATTTAAATAGATTAAAACCATTTTATTTAATAATGGGCCAGTATTTTTAGCTCAAATTGTTTTAAAACATGCAGGAGATCTCATCAAATAATTTAAGCTATCAAATTTAAAAATTGATCCAGCCATTCCCTCCAAAAAGCATTACATAGTTTTTAGTGGACGACCCAAACACATAACCCTGCCTTTCACTTCACTTAGTTTTGTAAAAAGTAAAGAAAAATATTTGATTGCTTACTATGTACAACCTCAAATAAAAGTATGTTTTTCACAGTCCGACTGGTTCGCCTCGGAGAATGTGATAAGAATATCGAATGAAAATTGATTGGTGATCGAATCATAAAATTCTAGGATATACTTATATATATATATATATATATATATATATATATATATATATATATATATATCATTATCTTTAATATAAATGAAAATTTAAATAAAAGTACATACCTACTATTCTGCCCTAGCCTATCCAGCTTGTCGACTTTTCTTAATTGGTTTTAGTATAATCATTTTATTCATTCATGTAGCTTATTTAATATTGATATTAATTTTTTTCACCCCAAATTGCTGGGAGGGACAAAATGATATTCTCACCCCTAAACCTTTTTATTGATGGGGCGATCGCCCCCTCATCTCATCTCCCTCCCCCATAGTCTTCGCCTATGACAATGAATGCCAGAGTAGTAGGCAAGAGACCAAGTGAGAGGGCAAAACCCAGATGAATAGATAGGATAAACAAAGATACTACTGAGCTTCATGCTGCAAACTGGAAAGCAGTAGCCCAAGATAGACAGAGATGGAGAAGGCTGGTTCAGGTGGCTAAAGATCTACAAGATCTTTAGAGCAAATGGAAAAAATATATATAAATAAATAAAAATATATATATATATATATATAATACATATATTTTTTTTCTGAAAATTCTAGAAGAAATAATATAGAAATTCTTATTACTGTTTGTTTCAAAATTATATAAACATTTTCCAATTTAAAATTGACACTTTAATATTTTAATAACTAAAAGAACAAGCAAAGAAGAAAGATACTCGTATTTAACGAAAGTGTCTTCAAAAATAAAATTTAGGTGTCGTATGTCAATAATTAAATCGGGTTTGAAACACATTATAATTTTAAAGCTTTTAATATAGTTATTTTTATATAATTTAAGAGTAAAAACTATGAGACATTATTAACATTATATTTATTATAGTATGTTATGCTGGTTGTTTGTTGAGTAGTAATGATAATGAAAAAATTAAAGGAGATCAGATTTTAATTTAGCATCTGCAATTAAAATATACTTATTCTTTGTAAATTTTATTAACATAAATGCCATTTTTATAATTAAAATAATGCAGCACGAATCTTGTAACTGATAATGTGAAATTTCGCTTTTTTCTCTCTTCATGGATTAGTATTATTTAATTTTTACATATGAAATTACATTCTAATAGGTAGGGATTAAATTAGGAACTCTTATTTTCTATAATCATTTAATCTGTGTAAATTGTTAATCTACTTTGAGAACAATAACTATTTCTTCAATTAACGTGTTTATTTTGAATTTAAATCAACACAATACAACATATAACATACTTTTGACACAATTAAATTCTTTGAAGGTTTAAACAATAATAGTTCTTTTTTATCTTTACAATATAGTTATTTAAAATACATATATTTTCATTTATAAAACAAATAAGCAACACATACACATATTTATATCTACTTGACATCGCAAAGGTCCGATTTTCAACTATTCAGCAGGGTACAATGAGGATTCTATTAACAATTAGCTTAAGCTTATGACTCATATTTTAGTGAAATAACACAAGTACCTATTGAATTAAATTAAAAAGGATTAGTTGTTTTATTGTAAGATTTCTGAAATTTTATCCACCTCAAAATGCCAGTGGAGAAAATATTTAATAAAAAGCTGAGACAGAAAATATAAAAATATTGCCAAAAATTGGTAGTATAATAAATAATGAAAATTGTCAATTCTCATTTATTCAAGTTTAAAGCACTTATCCATTTTGTAGTTTCAGTAATCAAATTAAACCTATTACTTGAAGTTATTGCACATCAACAATGGATGTTTTTTATGTGAAATAAAGTATCTAAAAAAACATCCTGTTCTTGTGTTGAGCCATATAAGTCACAGCAGAAAAACAACTATGTATATTAAATATGAAGCAGATATAATAACAACCAAATTACATTCAGCTTTGACAATTGTACAATCAAGTTTGAATACAACAAAGAAGCTTTATGAGTCACAGATTTCATATATCAGTTGGCCTAGTGAAGGCCTTAACATCAAAATCAGTTTCTAAGATAAGAAATTAAAAGAGTTACAAGAAGACATTTTTTTAAGACAACATTTTATTGATCTAATCCATAATTTTAAAAACTAAAAGATGAGGTAGGTTATGTGTGTTAAATAAGCAATCAGGTTCAGATGATAATGATAAATTATTTCTTAATTATTCCCAGCCCACGTAATAAGCCCGAACTTTCTCAATCCATTACCCATTGTATAAATAATTTGTCTTTCCTTCTTTAAACCGTTGAAATATAAGGATTGAATAAATTAATAATTAAAAAAATATACATTACACATTAATTAGTGAAATTCCATATCAATTTGAATAGAATTATTCATAATTTTAAACTCAATAATTATTGTGTTTCCTTAACTGGTAAGTTTCAGATAGAAGCATTAAAAGATAATTAAATGTTCGAGTACGTCAACTGTCATAAAATGCTTAACTATTCAAATTATTTAAATTAAACTCAATTTATAATATCGTTGGTTTATTACAAAAAGTCATGAAGTACACTTTTAATAGAACTGAAGAACGTTTTTATTAATTTTGATTTTATTTATCAATTAAAAAGATAGTAATCTAAGTTCTTAGTGAATTAAGGTTAAGAAATGTCACTTAATGGCTTTTTGCAAAAGACTGACGATATGTTAAAACTTCTGAAATGCAAAGTTCAAAAAGTCACTGAACTCTCACAGCCTATAAAGGTAATTTTTGTAATTCACTTGCAGTTGAGTTTATAATTATCTGAAATTAAACATAATACAATCAAACTTGAATTTTATGGTTATTAAAGCAATTAGTACTGTAGGTGTATTTAAATTGTCTTCCACAAGTTATAATTAAAATAATTGTTACACAATAAGGAAAATAAATGTCCTCTATCACATAATAAATTTTCATATTGAAAAATTAACAATCCATTAATTTTAGTGACAACTAAGAGGTGTTTAAATATTTTAGAATATGAGTGATTATATGAAAAGTGACCTTTCCTAGTTCTCAGTCATTTTTGTGGTTTTAAATAAAAAGTAGTAACATTGAAAAAAGTTTTGTATGGAGTTTGGCCATTTACAATCACAAAATATTTCTAATCTATCATGGTCAAAATTCTAAATTATAATTAAATTCATCTTCATCAAGCAGTTCTTTGAAGAAACTTACCACTTTGTGAACACCATTACAGAACAAGCCTGTATATGGAAACAATTTTATATTTTTTTGTTTAATCATACATCTACAGCTAGCTAAACATAATCAATGGATAAGAAAAAATGAAATTGGCAAGCTGTAAAAAAGCAATGAAAAAGCCAGTCCCTCCTCTATGGTTTTAATCATTCATCCTATTTTTATTTAAAACTGCGCAAAGGTAAATAAGAATTTTTCGCTGCAAGAATTGCCATCATCATATTTATATCAATTTCACATTTTTATTGAATGACATTCATCTAATCAGATTCTTGAGCAACAGATAAACCTTAAATGTTTTATTTTTTATCAGTTCCGTGTAGTTTTTTGTTTAGTTGTCATTATGTTTTTATTTTAGTATTTTAAATGATACCAAAAAAACTTTTATATTTTTCTAAGGTTAAGTCAAATAAACTTCCATTTTTCTTTAGTCTTTTTTAATCACATTTATTACATCTGATGTTTCAGGACAATTTTCCTTTCCTCAGAGAATCCTTTATGTTTACTTGACTTTGTAATGTGCCACCAATTATCAAAAATTACAATAATTGTCATATATATTTAAATATAATACTTTTTGGTGTTACATATTCATTTTATGTCCATTATCACACCAACCAACATCCAGCTCCCGATTACGGCTAGAGTAGTTATCAAAATAAGTATTATATATACAACATAAGGATTCTCTGAGGATGGGAAAATTGTTCCGAAACATTAGATGTAATAGATGTGATTAAAAAAGACTAAAGAAAAATGAAAGTTTATTTGCCTTAACCATAGGAAAGTATATAAACCTGAAGCTTCCTAGCAAAAGAAAAATAAGAAGATAAAAAAAACTTTTCTTTTTTTTTTACTAAAAAGGTCACTTACTGAATAATCACCAACAAATAAAAACATATGTTTATAAAAGATTTAATTAGTGTTAGGAATCAATTTATATTTAATAGGAAATCAATCATAAATCTTTTCATTGACATTTGAATTTCAAAAATTCCATCAATTATCAAGATAATAGAGTATCTATACTTAGTTATTACTTATTTTAATATATCATGTGTGGAAAACCAATTTACAATCCTACCATAAAAATATTATATTACTTATACACTTAATAACATTATAAACGATTATTATTTCCTACTTCATAGTTTCAATATAATATAAACATATCTTTCTGTTTAACCACAAATTTCTTTTTTTAAAACATCAAAATTTAATTATCATGTTATTTTTATGAATCCTACCATACCAAACTATCATGGTTAAAATACAATTACACTCAATTCATGGCTCAATTAAAACCAATGTTAATAAAATGTATAAACTTACAATATCGTTTTGAGCAGATTATCTTAATTGTTCTCACTAATATGTTCATCTAAAGTTTGAACACAGAGTAAATGGTCACGCTAGTTAATACTGATATAATTTATATATAACTCATTTATTCTAAAAATTATATAAATTTGATTTTTAACAACATTACACCATTTATTTACAATTTTTGTTTACAATTTTTCCTTTATATTAATTGTGTATAGTGGCGGCAATCGTTGAAGTATATTTACACTCATTTTTTATAAGATAAGTTGATATAATGTTATAAAAACTTCATAAAAGTAAAATGAGGTTAAAAACTGAAAATAGTAGATATGTAAAAATATATAAAATCTTCCATCTAAATTTAAAAAAAAAAATTACAAACAACAAAATTCTTTGGAAAAATATATTTATAAACTTTGTTTACAAACAATTTAAAATAACTTATTGTTCCATCAGTATTATGGAGTATTTTAGAGAATTTTTTTTATTTAATACATGTTTTATTATTTTTCTAAAATTTAATGAAGTTTTTATTTTATTATTTCAATCAATTTTAAAACCTTAGTATACAAATAATTTTTATTATCCATGTATTCTGATAACATAAGTCTTGAAAGACTGACAGAAACTGATATTTCCATAAGGTTATCTATCTCTGCTTTTCTGACCTACACTTCAGACAAGGTGAGTTCATTGTATGCTGATTAAATGAAAGGTAAAAGGGATTCATAATCCGAAATAAATACTGGGGCCCAAATGGAGTATTCATTAGTACTATTATGAATACTTACCTAATTAATTGGCCAAATACAAGGTAACTATCATGTATATTTTGAAGAGAGTTTGACATGAAAATTACAATTTGTATATTTCACACTAAGACAGATAATGGGCTTATTTTTGTCTATGTGAAAAACAGACCATCATTGGAAAATATATCTAATAAAAAGTATCTGGATACAGTTTTTGTCTCAAAAATAGTACCATAAAGCTGCATAGGAAAGTGAACACTCTTCTTGAAAAAAAATCATCATAATAATTTTTACTTTCTCCCAAATCTTACTTGATAATTATGATGATCAGCAATGGAAAGTGGATTTTTGATTAAGCTGATTGTAACTTGATGTAATTTCCACATGTCTTTATGTATGAATTTAATCAATATTCGTTTTACTTTTGATAAATATTTCATCAAATCTGTTGAAATCATTTAATAATTAATTAATGACTCATATCCATGATACCCCGATGCTAAATTTAGTAGCCTCTAGAAATTGCATACATGTATATATATATATATATATATATATATATAATATATATATATATATATATATATATATATATATATATATATATATATATATATATATTTGTGTGTGTGTGTGCATGAGTAACTTTTTAAATCTCGATATTTGAAAATGGCATTGAAACACTTTTTTGTCCAATTTTTTTAGCTTTACAAATAATGATTGTTTTCTGTTTTTAATGCATTAGTTTCATCTTTATATATTTTTGATATGTAATTATCAAATAACTAGGCCCTAATCAATTGTGAGGCAGGGTAATTATTACTTAAACAAGCTGTTGCACATTATTACAACATTTGGATGGATACAATTCTGTTATATTGTAGAGTTATTATCACTTTATTTCAGTATTACTTGAACCAATCTTTCTCAAAAAGTAATCTATGATTATTTAACATGTTCATTAGCACAGTTCCCAGAATGAAGAGCTTATAAAGGTTTGTAATAGAAAAATCAAATTAATAGCACCAGTATGCCTAGAGACCAATAGGGATAAAACAGTATTATTACTATTTTATCAGGTTACTTTAATAAATAATTTTAATTAATTATATCTTCTTAAAAAAATGAAGAAGAAAAGAATTTTAAATACAATTGTTGTATTTTTGTTTCGTTTTCCTATGAAAAAATTCAATTTAGAAGATAGAAAAAACATATTTTGTTGGGTGCTAGAATCAAGATGAATTTTCTAGAGATTAGACATCATTCTACTCAAGTAATTTGAATATCGACAAAATGTTATGTCACATTACGTGACATGAATGAGATTATATTTTCTTACTTAACTCCTACTTAGTATGAAGTGGATATTATCAAGGCTAGATTTATTCTATTACTGCTTCAATAAACACAACCTAAATTATTAGTTTTATAAATAATTATCATTACAGAGTTGACTATTATATTTTACTTGCCACATTCTAAAATTGAGCTTTCTTATAAGCATATTTTTTATTTTAAATTCAAAAAACTTATTTCACCTCATTTGGTATTTAATACCTTGTAGACTTCTTAAGTGGTCATATTTCAATGTAAGTTAACATTTTTGTTGCTACATACCATACCAATAAATTTTTATTTTAAATTTTATATTAAGTTAATAGTTAGTTCTTTTGAAAAAGCTAATAGTTGATGGAAACCTTTTCCTCATTTTTAATAGAAAATATAAATATATAATCTAATCATGTGAGGAACAATTGGTACATAATGTTCAGTATGTGTTAGACTTATATAAAATATAGCAGGAACCATTCATGATCAAGGTAAACAGTTATATGTAAGTGAAACCATTGGATCTTCACAATAGATTGTGATTAAAATCTTAATGCACGTACACTTTCCACAAATACCGTGATAGTGTTACATATGCAGTTTGAAAACTAGGCTAATCGAACTGGTCTGCGAGTCTGTAGAGAACGCAGCAGTTGACGGTATACTGCCGATGGGAGGGTGAGTGCTAAACGGGCGTCGTGCGGCGTAGGGGATCGAAACTATCATGCCGAAGAGAAGGACTTCTTAGAGGGGGCATTTCTTCAACTTCAAAGTCCGTCGGAAAGTCATCGCAGTTTATATCTGCAGTAGTAGAAACTGTATGAGTAGTGATATCTCTTGGTAGCTCCCAGCGATGAGACATTTCAGCATCCAACTCAGATGGATGGTAAGCTTCGGGATAGGAATAGTAAGTTGAGGTCACATTACTTACTCTCTGTAAACAAATAAAACATTTTTAAAATACCTGTGATCATTAATTATCAATTATATAAGACGTTACACAACCATTATAGAAGTTTATAATGTTATAAATCTGTACTAGGTTGCAAGAAAACACATGACAGCATTGTAAATGTCATCCTGACATTACAAAAAAAATAATAATCAAATTTATTTGTTAAATTATAAATAAATAAGATGAATTTCATAAAATCACCATATAAAGAACAAAAAATTTACATTTCAGTAATGGGAACTCAATCCTTCCATTCAAAATTTCTATGTATATGACTTCAATGTATAAATAATAAAATTATAATTAGTTGGCCTGTGCATATAATTCGCACTGTATATTGGTCAGTAATCAAATGACAAGTTAATAAGAAAACAAATAATGCAGCGTATCATAAGATGGATAAATTAATTCTCATTTTCTCAGTAATTATAATTGAAGGAAAGAAAAAATAATTTAAAACTTCATGTTTGAACCAAAGTGTTTACAGATTTCATAGCTATATCTCATTTTATAGCTATATCTTTCCTAATAATAGTCTGATTTAGATGATTTTTTTTTTCGTTTTGTAGGTAATTTAGTAATATTTTAAATAATCAATGGTGTAATCCACAAAAAAGTACAAACTTTTTGTGTTATTTCGAAATAAAGTTTCTTTTCTCTTTTAACATTTTTTCCTGAAATGTTGGAAGGTGTGACTTCTTTTCTACCTGAAGGTGGAAACCTCCAAAATGATGGTGCGATCTTAGGATTAGATAAAGAATTAACAAAGATATGGCTTAACGACAAAAAATCATATTTTATAAATAAAATAAATTCCTCGTCTCTCGATCATAGGGACCTCAAGTCAATGACGCGAGACATGTATCCCATTGCAATACTACAATTAACGTGAGGTTGTGTGACAACCCTTGTCCTTGCATTAACTCAAAAATGGTACATTTTTAGGCTTGAAAATGAACAGTCGTTCCGAAGGAATATTTGGTACATTGATGGATTGATGTACATAGAAGGAATATTGATTTTGAGACTTACTGTATTAATATATGTGCGGATTTTAAAATTAATTAAGCAGATCTCCAGGAGGGCCTTAATATTTCTTATGACAACCTCTGAATGATACACTTAAGAGACAAAGAGCCTACCAATCCCCACATATATTATTACAGTAAGGCTTGAAATCAGTTTTGTACCAAATATAAGTTCCTGTCATGCTCAAATACCATGAATGGGGTACCGTTGGATTCAGAATTTCAAGGAGGGTTAGCGAATCATATTCTCCATTTTTACTTTTCTTTCTAATATAAATAAAGTTAATACAAACATTTTGCTAGGCTTCAATACTGGAACGGTGGTAGATCTGCAGATCAAAACAGGACAAATTGGACCTTGAAGATTTTGATTGCGTACAGCAAGACCCAAATAGTTCCCTCGGAACTATCGGATCCTACGTTTTTATGCCCCAAAACGTACTATTTTTGAGAAAATGCAAGGCATAGGTTTCGCATCCACACAACCTCACGGTAATTGCAGTACTGTCATTGAATACATGTCTCATTTCGTCAACTTGAGACCTCTATGATCGAGAGAGGAAGAGTTTATATTATTTACTAATGGTGTTTTTGATCGGCAAGCCATATCATCGTTAATTCTTCACCAAATCTCAAGATTGAACCACCAATTTCGAAGGCTTCCTCCTCCTTCAGGCGGGCAAAATAGTCTATCCACCCCAAAAATTCAGGCAAACAAGTTGTGAAAGAAAATAAACTTTATTTGCTAATAACTTAAAAATTATACATTTTTTTCTGGGTTATGCCCATGATTATATAAAAGATTACTAAATTCCCTAAAAAAATCATCGAAATCGGACAATTTTTAGAAAAGATACAGCTTATTGAAATTTGTAAACATATTATTTCGAAACATTAATGAAGATTTAAATTAATTTTTGTTCCTTTGTGGATTATATTTATTAATAAAGTAACAATTGATTTCTTTAGCTTTTGATACATTGGATTATTTTATTTTCTTATTAATTTGGCATTTGATAACAATATGCTATGCAAATTCTTCGCACAGGCCTACTAGTTTTTTCCAATATGCTTCAAGTAAGGGGTCTCCAAATCTTTGATCCGCAGACTATATTGATATTTCCACTAAGTTCCACAGGACATACTGAGACCTCTACTAAGTCCCAAGGATGTGAACACTGTCAGCTTTAAAACTGATTCATTGTATGATTTCAGCTAGAAACTATACACTGTCCAATGTTCAATCCATTTGAATATTGAATCAGTGGCATACATATACCATTCATATAGGATCCAAGACAGAATTATTTTTTTAGGCCTCTTAAAACAAAAAAAACTAATACCCTGTTGTGGAGCCCACTTAATAAGTGGAGCTGGTGGTAGGTTTATTTTTAAAATTTTATCTTCCTATATAAAACTGTTTTTATTTTATTTTTAATCATATTTTATTTTAGTACTAGGATAGTAGGAGCTCAAAGATTATTTTACAAATTATACAGCTGTTCATTTAATTGCATATGTGTTAAGCTCCTTTTAACTTCTACTCTCCTACTCAAAATAAAGATTTAAGACAAAATTTTACTTTATATTTTACTAATTAAGAAAAAGTTTTTTTATGTT